ATGTGTATTGAGATAAATATATCAAAACATCACATCAAACCCCTTAAATATACAGTTTTAAAAGGAGAAAATGACATTATCTACTAAAAGAAAGGATGAACTAGTTTAGAGAAAGTACAAGATGAGCCTGGAATATATTGTGGAAAGAAAAAGGAAGGAAGAAGGAAGGCTCAAAAAATAATGAAACACAAGAGCAAGCACCACAGAATTTCCAGTGAGTGTCATCTGAGCATCAAAATGAACGCAAACCTAAGATTTCAACATTGAATACAAAGCGGTCTCATGAGTGTTCCCCACTGTAAGTGAGCACGAGAGAATGCAGGAGAATGCCAACTTATACGTGGAGGAGTGCTGGAAATCCCAAATCACCCTTGGCAACCTTCACAGACATGGTTGACTCTGGCAGAAGTCATCAATGCATGTCAATTCTCACAACGGAGGTTCAGTGAGGAACGCATACTCACGTTGTCTAGAATCCTTCCCTACAAATAGTAATAAACCCAAACATGAAAATATAGTGATTTTAGGTGGAGCAACCTGGCAGACACTAACACAACCAAGTGATCAAGGTCACTATCCCAGATATGAGATGGGATGGTTGCATGAACCCTTGCTGTGAGGAACTGAGAATGGAGTTTTATTCTGCAATGGTTCAGCTGGTAGTCAAGACTTGAGTTTTGAAGAGTTGCCAAGGGTTTGCCTTAAAGTTTCATTCATAAAACATGATCACTGCCTCTACGAAGACTTGGAAGGCCTTTGGGCAAACCTGCATGCTTATTCAGGGCTGTTTGACCCCCAACCCAGCCCTGTCACAAACCAAGCCGTCCCTTTATAACTCCGCAAGTCAGCACATTGCTGAGTCAAAGCCAAGGCTGGAACACCTCCCCACCCCCACCCCCAGTCTAGTGTCCCAGGAACAACAAAGACACATGATGAGCAGTTAGGGGGACTGATTAGCAATCTTAGGAGGGACAAGGGTGGCTGTCCTTGTGGAAAACAGCCTGTCACATCTGATGAGGGGAGACAGGGCTTATGAGAATGAGGTGACATCGGGGTCAAGGACAGAAGTGGAGTTGAAAGCTTTAGGCCAACAGGACAAATTAGGGGACAGGATCTACACAGCCAAACCAGGAGGGAGTGGGGGAAGAAGAGGATCGGGGCCTGGAGGACCATGATGAGGAGGTGGCTACAGCCTTGGGACCTTTCCCTCAGGTGGAACTACTCTCTTGGCTCATCTCAGGTAAAGAGTAACAGATCTTTCTGACTGAAAGACATAAGCTGCCAAGGGATCAAGGTTGAGTCATGCAATCACTCTGCAGAGTGAGCCTTAAAATTTCAAGTCATTAGGAAGTTGCAGGGCAGAGAGGATGGTGTAGGGGCCCAGTACCATGTCTAGCAGGACTAACAACTGCTGTTCCCACTCTCTTCCTGGCCTTAACTAGCTCTTGGGTTTTATGCACCAAGAACTGAGGTGAGAGACGATTTTTAACTTTAAAGCCTGGAACTTTGCTCTGTGCCTGGCATGCTGTTTAGTAATCTTCGTCAGCAATTAACTTCCTGGTCCTCACAGAGCAGCTCCTTAAGCTCTGCTTCTAATTTCCTCCCTGCAGTCTAGTATGACCTCAAAGATAGGAGAGAGACCTATGGAGAGAGGGCAATGATGTCCACTTGGTCCTCAAGACACCCACATGGAATTTCTGTGGTACTCACGTAACCAGTGCTGAGTAATCTACCCCAGACGGTTCACACCTGGATGCCCCAGATGTCCACATCTGGATGCCCTACCTCTTTAATTCCTACCATTTATAAGGCTCCTTCCAGATTACAAAGCTCATATACAGGACTTAAAGGTACCTATCACTAACCCATGCAGGTAACTGAGAAAAGATTTGCAATCCCCATCATATAAATCATCAAACCAACTAAAACAAATGACAAGTAATGTATGTAAGGTCGCAGATCCCACAGAGAGAGAGCTGTGACGAGAAACCGGACTGTCATATTCCAACCACTTCTGGCCCATCCCTTACAAAACACAACCTCTAGACCCATGGTTCTCAACCTTCCTAATGCTGTGACCCTTAAACACAGTTCCTCATGTGGTGACCCCCCCAACCCCTGACCATAAAATTATTTCATTACTACTTTCTAATTGCAATTTCGCCACTGTTATGAACCATAATGTAAATATCTGTTTTCTGTTGGTGTTAGGTGACCCCTGTGAAAAGGTCATTCGACCCCCAGGTTGAGAACCAGTGCTTTAGGCGATTATGGGGACAATTCCCTGTCTTCACCACCTCCTCTCACACACATGACAGAACTGAACGGCTCTACCTACACACAAAATCCAGGCTGAGGATGCTGCCGCATCAACACCAGAGAGAAGGCTCACGTGCGGCAGAGTGTGAGACGGACGGGAAATGCCTATGGTAGATGTGAAGTGTCCCCCACAGACACTGCTTTGGGGGGTTGCTGTGACAAGGCTTCGCTGGAGGAAGAGTGTTTCTGAGGAGGGAGGGCCCTTGAGGTTAAAAGCCATGTTTCCTTTCCCCTGTCTGCGTCCCGACCTCCCCCAGATGTGAGCAAGCAGGCTTCTGCTCCAGATCCCTCCACTGTAACGGGCTGTGCCTTCAAACCATGAAACAACGTAAGTCTTTCCTCCCTTAAGTAGCTTCGAGTCAAGACAGTGGTCACAGCAGTGAAAAGAGAAACCAACCCAAGGTCCATGTCCAGGAATGGGGTAGCACATAAAAGAAGTGTGTGTGCTTCAGACACCTGCAGTTGAGTCTCTGCACATGTTCACTGGGACGATGGACCACGGTGGCCAGGTCTGCATGAATGTTAGGACATATGTTCAGGAGGGAAAAGCCAAGCACCATTTTGGTACTTCCTGTATTACAGGGACCCTCCTGTTTTCTCTTTTAATCTTGGGAGATGAATGTAATCTTCAGTTTTACAGATGAGAAAATTAAGGCCCAGGGAAGTCAAACAATGTGCCTACGGTCACGAAGCCGGCTAGAGTAAAGGCTGGGCTGGCTGGAAAGTCTGTTCCTCCCCTTATGCCACATTAATAATAATGCCCTGAGTCTGGCCCGGGCCATTTAGAAGCTTACAATCAGACTTAACCACTTTGTTGAGTATAATCACAAGCAAGAAATCATTTGAACTAATGTATATGCCAAGGAGAGTGGCTAATGGGTCATTTGAGTTATAGCAATTCATACTGGAGTTATACTGATTTCCCCTTGCCCCAGCCTAAAGAAATAAGAGGCTGGCTTAAGTTATGGTGGGCTGCTGACCCTCAGGAGAAAGCTGGGGAGCTTAGGGAGAAGCAACCCACCCTTAGGCATGAGTGCTCAACTTTTAGAGAATTAGCATTATTTGCTACCTGGCTCTTATACTGTGTGTGCATACCGTCAATGCCTGTGTATTTTTGAAGAAAGAGAGAAAGAGGAAGAGAGAGAGACAGAGACAGAAACAGAGACAGAGAGGCAGAGACAGACCAAAATTAACACATTGTAGCATCTCAAGTTCAGATGAAGTTACATGAAAAATCATTGCATATTTTAATATTTTTCATTCATGAAAACATGTGCAAATCAGTTCTTTTAAACATCTTATAAAGCAGCCAAGCCAAAACAGATCTGATCTGATATAAAGATCTGTAATTGCTGAATGCATTTGGTAAGATTTAGAAGAGTGCTACTTGTCACTAGACTAAAGAAAGCATCACGGTTTTGAATACTGAAGGATAAAAAATATATATTAATGGGAAAAAATCCCTGAACAATCAATTTCACCGGCTATATGGTAGTACTGTGCAAGTATTGTCCCCGTGGTTAAATGTTCAGGGTCACAGGGTCTCGAGACATAGGGCCCACCTAACTGGCCAGGTTTGCTGGCTGGATGTTTCAAAATGGCCCAGTTTGCTTAGGCAAACTGTATTAACTGAGCCAAGCCTGTCCTGACTGCATCATTCCTCGGGGGAGCAGGGACAGGAGTTCTAGCCCCCCGGTTCCCTGAGCTCTGAAACCATCACACAGGTTTGAACCCAAACCTCACTGTTAGCAGGACTGACAACTATTGGCAGAGAGTAAACCCAAGAACTCTCTTTAGCAATTCAGGCGCTCTGCATTAAGGGAAGGCTGGGCATGTACGCAGTGGTCATCCGCTTGCAAAGAGGATTTTGGCTAGGACCGACATTACTTTTTTCTCCGATTTATAAACTACAAGGAGGAACTCTGAGAAGTTGAGTCTTTTACTGTGAATGTGACATTCCAAGATCAAGAGTTAGTCAGGACAAAACTGATGCACCCACGAGAAAATTATGAGGGGAGGATTTGGGGGAAATCATTCTATTTACAAAATGACCTCTAAGTGCTTTGGAGGGCCATTTCCACAATCATGTTAATAAGACTAAACTGTTCGCAATATTCAGCCAGTCCTCAAATCACAAGCCTGAGAAAATTCTAAGCCGTTTCTGATAGTGGCAACTTGTACAGAGAAGGCCATGAAGAAACTGCTACAAAAACAAAGCACTTTTGTCCCCCGTGGTGAGCGGGGATCCCTCACAACTGGTCGGAGCTGGTCAGAGTAACTATTTTCCAAATCTTGAGAGTTTTAACCAACAGTCAGACCACCACACCAAGGAAACTGCAAGGTGAAAAATGTCACCTCCCAGGACTCCCGGGGAGAACCCATTTCCCATCACCAGACAGACTCCACAGAGTTTGGAAAGAAGCGCCCCTGCAAAGCGCGGCGTGATGGAGCTGGGTGTCCCTGCGCCCGTCCCACCAGCCCACAACCAAGGCGGATGCAGCCGGGGCTTTTGCATCTGCATTGATTTTTTGCTCTTGAGAAACACGAAGTGGGAAAGGGCAAGGTACGCCGCACTTTGAGGGGAAAGTTGCGCCCCGGGAGTGTGGAGAGGATTGGAGACCAAAGAACCCCGAAAAAGCCCCTGCCGGGAACCCCCATCCCGATCCGCACACCGCACTCACCGCTCTCGCTCGCCCACGCCGCGGAGCCCAGGAGCCGAGTGTCCAGCGGCTGCCGCATGCCCTCGGGGGAGCTCGACGGGGCGACCGGGCTCCGGCCAGCCAGCGGCGGAGGACGCGGGGCAGGCAGAGCCGAGCGCCTGCTCTCCAGCGTCCGCGGCGACGCGCCTGGAGTCCCGGGCAACTTGGCCAGGGGGTGGAGGTGGAGCGGCGGCCCGGTCCCGCCCGGCCGGGTGCGTCTGCAAGTTCCCACGGGAGAGCGCCCCCAGCCGGCCAGGCTCGGATCGGCGGCCCAGGGAGGCGGTCTGCAGAAGCTTGGCTAGGGACCTAGTGCCCATGGGGGTGGCCGGCTTGGAGAGGCCACCTAAGGCTTCCTAAAGAGCCAGTAGCAACTGAGGGAGCCTTACCTCAGAGGGATCCGGGGACTGAAACGCACTGCTCTGACCCTCTCTCCTCTATGAGGAGAGATCCCTGTTTGAGGTGGGTCACTGCCAGAACCAGACCTGATACCCTAAAGCCTGAATCCCAAAGTCATCCTAGAGTTCAGGCAGCCCCAGAAGAATTCACCTTTGTGTTACAACAGGAAACAAGGCGTATCTCTGCTTCTTGTGGGGGTCGTGTTGGCCTCCCGCAGTGAACAGTCCTGGATAAGCTGTTTCAAAGCTGACCCACCTTTGGCAAAGACCGTGCACAGGAAAGCAAACGTCTAAAGGCTCAGCTCTCTCTCTCTGCGCCGGAAAACAAAATCTGGGTCACAGCATGCTAGAAGATGGGCCTTCCTGGGAACCTCTCAGGAAGATACTGTGAAGTGAAAAGCCTTCCTACTCAGCCTCAGACGCTGGGGAAATGTCTAGAGTGTCGGTTTGGGCGCGTAAAATCGTGTGCATTCAATGGGACCCTTCTCTGTGCCCATCGACGGCCCAGTGGGTAAAGTGCACAAGCTGAGTTTCTGCATTTGATCCTCAACCCCCGTGTAAGGAGCTGTCTGTCTGTGCTGCACCCACCCACAAGCCCCGTGCTGGGAAGATGCAAACAGGAGGATCGGATCCATCCCTGGGGCTTGCTGGCCTGGCCCACTGGTGAGCTCCAGGTTCAGTAGGAGACCCTGACTCAAAACACAAGATGGAGAGCAATTGAGGAAGACACTGAAGGGCAAGCTCTGGCCTCCACACCCACACACACACACATGCACATACACACACACTGAATGAATGAATGAATGAAACCACCTTCTAGGAGACAGTCTGTCAGAATCTCTGTGATCATGAGGGACAGTGGGTCTGACAGGTGGCCACAAGATATTCCTGCTTTTCCAGAGTTCTGTTCCCAGTGGCCACGTGACAAGTGGCTCAAAATCCTTTGCATTTCCAGATCCTAGGGACCCAACTCCCCTCTTCCAGTTTACATACACACACAAATCTTTATTTTGAAAAACAGATTTTTGATCTCTGAAGACGGCGTTTTAATAACGTTCTATTCACCCATTGTACCCCGTCCCTTAAACAGTGATAGCCTCGTGGACCTCAGCCAGTCACAGGATTATGGCTAGAGTTTGATCACATGTGTGATCTATTATTACTTCATCCGTGAATTCAGCAAATCACTATGGTATGTTGCATCTGAACTGGGTAGAGGGACACACTTCACTAAACTACTATTCAAGCAAAAGAGTTGGGAAACATTACATTGTAGCCTGGGGACTCCTTGAACTTTACAAAGGAGAACCTTGACCCTGTGGAGTCATGTGTGGCTAGTGTTAGCAAGGAATCCTTCGAACAGGAGAAGGGGGAAGGGGTGTGGTGGCCTGTGCAAAGGAGAATGCCATTCCAGCTGCCCCCAGTTTTTAACAATGGGGTCAGGGGTGAAGGGACGGCAGTGACAGAGCTAGACAGGACCGGTGGTAACGACCTAGACAGGAACAGGACAAAATGCAAAGACAAGGAGAAGACGATGCACGCCCCCCCCCCCCCCCCCCCGCAAACAAAACAAAACAAAACAAAAAACCACTGACTCTTAAGATGAAGCTCAAGGATTAGCCACTGGAGTCCTCTTTAAGTCCTTGTTGGATCAGGGACATCTCACTTCTTCACCAAATGTTTTTATTAGTTAAAAACAAATTAAAATTAGTACCACTTAGCAAAAACAAATCAACGCTAATACCACACGTGGCAAGCATGATGATGGCTACTGGCTACTGGCCGGAAAGTCATTGAAAACCTTTTAAACAAACAGCTTCCTTGTGTTCCTATATTCCCGGGAAAGCAAAGAGTTACAGCATTGCTTCATAGAGGAAAGGGGGGTTTGGACTGCAGCCTTGAAAGAGCTGAGCGCCCCTCCTTCTCATGCATCTTTACGCTATAATGTAAGTGCTACTAGATAAGTTAATTATTAACTGTTAATAAAAACAACAACAACAACAACAATAGTGGCCCCTTGCCATGGAGAGAAGCAACGTAGAATCTGAGGGTGACTTTCCTCCCTGGTTTATGGAAAGAGACCTGTGTTCCTCCATCCACTCTTGGACTTGCAATCATGAGGGCAAGAATTCACATGCCCTTCACTTTGAGAACAATCTGAACTGAGGCTATGTCGAAATTTGCTGCCCTGAACTAATTAGGAAAAAGGCTGCCTCCAGCAGCAGACAGATGTGTGAGAAAATGGAATGGCATAAAGGGAAAGGTGTAAGCGGTACCTGAAAGCATAGTTAGCTAGAAGGTTCTGAGGAAAAACCAAGCAAGCAGTTATGAACGTAGAGGACCAAGAATAAGATGAGACGATGTCAGCAGAGTGGGTGGCCCTGTGCAGAACATCTCAGCCTCCTGCTAACAAGCTCAAAGGGAAAATCATAGAGGCGAAACTCAAAAGTCAAAATGAACATATGCCCATTTAGATTGAGAAAACTATATTTCATACGAAGTAGAACTCTATTACATACGGAGTAAAACCTTCACCCATGGTTATCAGAACACCACTTTACTCTGCACAGTTTTGTTCCCCAAAGTGACCAATTTGAAAATAAGTAATGGGGAGAATTGTTTCCTATCATATGTGAAAATACATTACAAAGCCGTTCTTGCAGTAGATAGCATAAAATACAGAGATATTTTAGTGCAGAGAATGAGAATAAATGAAGCGCAGAGAATGAGAAACTGCTGAATCCTCAACCCTAAATGAGATGTCCACGTCACACCCCTTTCCCCCAAGGCTCAGAGACCATTGCAGGAGATGGGGAGTAAAGACTGTGCGAGGCAGAGTTCGTGGTTACTACAGGGAAACAGTGTCTTATGGACAGAGCAGAGCAGTTGCTTGTGTGGACCTGCAGCAGTTGAGACCCTATGCATAAGATCTGTACAAGCTCAAGCCAGACCAAATCCCAGCACAGGGGGGAGGTGGGCATGGAGTTCCACCCCTAGCTAAGGAGGTGGGAGTTAAAGGGAGGAGGAGGAGGAGGAGGAGTCAGTTTGCTTTAAGACTGTAGCCCGTGGCAAGTCAGCCGTTCCCAGAGGGCGGCCACACATCCAAGAACATGTGGGGAGCACAAATTGGACCTGATGGATGTAAAAAGAACAACAGAAAAGAAGAGGACACAAAGTTGGGTGGGAGGGAAGGGCGAGTGGAAAGAGTTGGGAGAGGGCTGAATATGGTCATGATATACTTTACAAGATTCTCAAATTAATAATTAAAGAAATAGCTAGTGTACCTACAGATCCTGTTGAAAATAAAGAGACTTGTATTTGAAGAAGCTGCCATCTTAAATCAATAAAAGTAAGATAATCCTGATGTTGACACAAGTCACTGATGAGGGCAGGGGTAGGTCGTTACCACAGTAAGGTTCACATACATAGAGAATGAATTTAGCAGGGTCCAGAAAGATGTGCAGCAGTTGGGAGCTCTGACTGCTCTTCCAGAGGACTGCAGCTTGGTTCCCAGCATTTATGTGAAACGGTTTACAGCCACCTGTAACTCCAGCTCCAGATTATCTAATTCCCTTTTCTGGCCTACTTGGGCAACTTCATGCAAATGGCATAAATACATACAGACATATACATATACATATAAATAAAAATAAATGCAAACCTCTACAAAATAATTTGTCAAAACAGCCATGAAATAATTAGAAAAATAGTTATACTTATTTCAAGTTTAGAGAGAACGTCTTAAAAATAACAACAAGGTAAAACATCACAGGAAATAGTCATTGATTTTGCTACATACAAACAGATATATATGTATGTAACAAAAATAAATGTATTTTTGTCAATAAAATGATTCCTAATGATATTCTGCTATACTTGTTGACAGGAGCCTAGCGTAATCCTCATCAGAGAGGCTTCATCCAGCAGCTGATGGAAGCAGATGCAGAGACCCACAGCCAAACATTAGGGGGAGCTCTGGAAATCCTTTGGAAGAGGGGAGAAGAAGAAATGTAGGGGCCAGAGGGGCCAAGGACCCCTCTGAAAACCACAAGAAAACCCACAGAGTCAGCTGACCCGACCTTACAGGGGTTCACAGAGCTGAACTGACAACCAGGGAGCCTGCCTGGGTCTGACCTAGGCCCCCCACATTTATGTTGTGTGTAGGTTGGTCCTCTTGTGGGACTCCTAACAGCGGGAGCAGGGACTGTCTCCGACTCCCTTGCCTGCTTTTGGGACCCTCTCCTCTCACTGGGTCACCTCATCCAGCCCTACGAGGAGGGGAGTTCCCAGTCTCGCTGCAACTCACTGTGCCATGTTTGGTTGGTATCCACGGGAGGCCTGCCCTCTTCTGAAGAGAAATGGAGGAGGAGTGGCTGGGGGAAGGGAGGGGAAACTGTGGTCAGGCTGTCATGCAATATATGAAAGAAAAATAAATTTTTTAAATTGCATTTTTTAAAATAACAAACTAAATAGTAGGAGAGAAAACTGTCTTCAGCAGATGGTAGCTGAAAGATCAACACTTTCCCTGTAGAGTCCACTGAGAGGCACGTAGAGGACTCCTAAAATCTTTTTAGTGTATTGTTAAATGTGTGTGTGTGTGTGTGTGTGTGTGTGTGTGTGTGTGTGTGTGTGTGTGTGTGCCTGTCTGTCTGTCTGGGTGTGTGAGTGTGTCTGTGTTGTATATGTGTGTGCGGATGTACACATACGAGTACAGATGACTGTGGAGCCCAGAAGGGTCTGATTCTCCTGGAG